AAATTAAACCAGATAGGTCTGACAGCAAAAAAAAAAAAAAGTTGGCAAATTAACTGGCTAAACTTCTCATCTGTAGTTGAGACACTGAGATGAGGTGGTGTTCTGACTACGTCCCCTCAGCTTCCAAAATCTCAATCTTTTCATAACATATGACGCCACAGGACTCCATAAAACAAAGCAAAGCCAGCAGGCCAGCACAGCAAAGTTTTAGGGCTAAGTTTGACTTAAAGTCAAAGCATGACAAATCTCTTTTCCAGACACTTACTAATTTTCAGCATGGAATATTTCAGGTGAAACAAAAATCTGCTATAAAGAGACCATTAAGTAATACTGTACCTGAGGTATTACAAAAATGAACAGGAAATCTCAGTTCTCCAAAACGAGACTATTTTATGAGGGACCCCAGATTCTGCAAGAGAAATTCTCTTATGAATCAAGATCAAGCAGGAGGAAAAAATAATGTCTACATTACTGCAGTCTGGTTAGATAAAGTTCATCTGTACAACAAAAGCTGTTAGCCTTTACTAATTAAGTACTTACTGTTGCATTAAAATGACCACCATATCAGGACAGTTGGAAGAGCTGCCTATGACTAGAGTTTTGAAAACACAGAAAATGTTAACATTTTTTTTTCTTTTTATTCAAGGAAATTTAATATACAAAATATTTCCAGATTCACATGCATTTAATCCTCCTCTTCTTCCTCCTCTTCATCCTGGTTGATCTGGAAGTATCGCAATTCATAACTTTCCTTGCTATTGGCAACTACACGCAGCCAGTCACGCAAGTTGTTTTTCTTCAGATATTTCTTAGTCAGATACTTCAGGTATCTGTGGAAAGAAGGGAACCAGTAATCCAACTGAAAGCAGTACAAATACCTCTTATTCTGCATTACGTGCTGTAGGAGAAATTCAAGTAAATAGCTTACGAGATTCCCATCATGCTTTACTCTAATCTGTTTCAGTTTTGCATTATATAACAAGAGGAGTTTGTCTTAATGTCTCCCACACTTGATAAGACATTTTGGATAAAACCCACTGTCATGACAGATTGTAACATGCTATTTTACTTTTTCAGAAGCAAAGAGGTAATGTATAGGCTCAAAACACTTCCAGGTCTGCAATATTTGCCTAACAGTGCCATTCATTACATCTTTTTTCCTGAAGATCCTCCCCTGTGGGGCTTTACCACTAAACTCAATTCAGAAGAGCAAATTAAGTTTTTATATTAGTGTTTTAACAAGTAGATTTAAAATCTTCTCAACCAAGAAAAAAAAGTGTTCTCACCTTACTAGAAATGACTTACTCTCTGCAAGGCAAGCCAAAAGACTATTACTGCAGAAGTAACTACAAAAGACATGCTACTCAGAACATAAGAGGGAAAAGCTAAGGCACTTTTTCGGAGAGAAGTGCCAAATCATGCCCTGCCTTTGCACAAACTTAATTAAGAAAATAAAATTAAAAAGAACACCTTGGGTGCAGGGGAATACCAAGGAAAGCTCTCTAATGCAAAAAAAAGCACACATGACTATCCACATCAAGTGAAGATACTAGAAGCTTAAATTCTAAACAAACTTTATTTTAGAAAAACTTTCAACGGGATCAGTGAATTAAGACCTGCAGAATAACATGCATCAAAACCAAATAATTCTGAGCTGGGAAAGGATGTTATCAATCACAGCATGAGTCCCCATGTAAAGGTACATGTCAGACAATGCAGCAATTTCTTTATAACAGAAAGGCCAAGCAGCTTTTTTCTCCCTCCACCCTCAAAGCCAAGAAAATTGATATGGTCAACAACAGCATGGCAGCAAGGCAGGGTTATTTTTGTCTTGTACCAAATAAAGGTACATTGCTTCATCAGACATTATACAACTCAGTCACTAAACAACTCACATTTTTTCCAATTCTTTAGTAAGTGAATGCAATAATGATCAGAATACATGAGGTGCTGTGTTGAGAAATAAATGATCTGTCTTGAGGGGTTTACAGCTTTCAAGTCAAAAGGATAGGGACATGCAAAAAATACACATGAAAACTCATCAGCTTACTTAAA